TTTGCGGTTTCGGGGGAAAACATGGATATTTTCTAATGATTTTCCCTGATTTCTTCTGATTCACTAGTTAGATTTGCCCTGATAACCCAACCTCAAATTATAAGGTTTGTTCGAACCCTTCAAAAAACCATCCCAGAACGGTTTTGAAACCACCTTGTATACGAATTTCGGTTTCTACGCATAAATTTTAGGTTTTGCGTAGAATCCCGACGGTAATATTACGGTTTCCTGCTGGGTTGGAACAAAGCTATAAAGATTTTTTAAAACTGCGGATAAGTTATTAGATGTAGAGATTGACTGATTTTCTAAGATTTTCCATGATTTCCTTAACATTTTCCTCGAGTTCCTTAAGATTTCCAAGGCTGCTGCGAACCATCTTGATAGCGTACTGAATATTGAACAGAAATTGTACTGAATATGAAAAAATTGTACTGAATGGCAGCAAATTTAAAAATTGGAATGTATAAAAGTGGATTTATGTTAAAGTGGACGTTGGATGTATATATCTACAGATCGATGGAAGTTTGAAATGGAATTTTGTATAATTTGTCTATAAATCTAGCTAAATGAGGTCAAGGGCAACTCGGGATTTCCAAAAACATAACCTAAATAAATGAACTATACCTAATCAGCTCAATCCAGAGCACTTTTGCAGTGCACGAGTTCATTTGGCTTGACATCTCTGTGACGTCACGTTACTGTGTACTCTGATCGATCCGCTCGGGGCAAACCTACACTGTTCTGGGAGTCAAAATTTGAATCTAAAATTGCGAGCTCCTTCCTCCAACAACAAGATCTCAGCAACAGCAGAAAATGAATACAATTATTATAAATAGTGTTTTTTTCTTATTTAACAAATACATTATTTGAAATTGAAGTTTCGTATGTACTGAATTTGGGTGGTTTTTCAGAAGGGTGTACTGACGTACTGAATCTGCTTGGTGATAAATTCAGTACAATTGTACCGTAATGGCAGTCTTGAAGATTTCCCTTTACTTACTTATGATTTCTTCTGATTTCCCCTTGATTTCTCCTAATTTGTACACCATAAGATTTCCCTTACGGTTTACGAGGTGAACCGTTTTTGTATAACAGATTACGGTTTTAGGGGCATGATTTTTCCTGATTTCTTTTAATTACCAGTAAGATTGCCCAAAAGTTCCCCTGATAACATAACCTCATATTATAAAGATTTTTGAAAACTGCGCATGCGTTAGATCTAGAGATTGACTGATTTTCTTAAAATTTTCCAGGATTTCCTTAAGTTCCCCTGGGTTCCTTAAGATTTCCTTTGATGTCATTATGATTTCTTCTGATTCTCTCATGATTTCCCCTGATTGCCTTAGATTTCCTCGGATAGTTTTTACATAATAGATTTCCCCCTTGAAGTGCGGTTTACCCCGTTTAGGTACACCAGATTGTGATTTTAGGTGACATCATGATTTTCCCTGAATTCTTCTGATTACCAGTAAAATTCCAAAGTATTCCTCTGCTAACATAACCTGAAATTGTAAAGATTTTGGAAAACTGTGCTGGATCTAAAGATTGACTGATTTATTTAAGATTGCCAATGTTTGCCTTGAGATTTCCCCCGAGTTCCTCAAAATTTCCCTTGATTTACTTTTGATTGCTTCTGATTTTTTTATTATTTTCCCTGATTGCCTTAGATTTCCTCGGATTGTACACCTTTTCCTTGCAGTTTACCCCTCATTTTTCTCCATTACAAACTGATTTATTGTTTGATCAAGCTGTATTCTCACTAATTCGTATGACACACATTTGACATTTTTCAAGAAAATTCTATTTGTTCTAGAATTTCATTGGTAACTCATATTTCCCTTTTTTCTTTTAATGCTTTCTGTAGCAAAATTCAGTTTTGTTTTTCAATTATTTGTGACTTCTTTGTAAATGAATCTTTACTTGTAGTACTCGCATGAGTATCTTGGTTGATGATGATTTTTGAGGAATTTGATATTGGTAGATACAACTATATGAAAAGTACCTTTTGGTGAATCTAGATTCTTATTATCTGTAGAATTGATTTTACTATGGTGCACTTTCTGAGAGTCTATTTTTTTATTAATCGGATTGTCACAAAATCTTGGAGATTTTCTTGATGGCGTTCCAATTTCCTCTATGGGAGCTAATCTTATTTTCTAGTTCAATATGTACGACTTATCAACTTTACTAATAGGGGTACCTACACCAGTAGTGGAAGTCATTGTACAATTTTTTGGGAATCACATAGTAATCAATCAGGAATAAATGGAAATCACTTGGGAGTCCCTGGGAATAACCTAGGAATCGCTAGGAATCTCCTAGGACTCCATGGAAATAACATAGGAATCCATTGGCATTCGCTGAGAATCATGTAGTAGTCACTGAGAATATCATATTAGTCTAACCCAGAAATCGCATATCATACATTTTTAACGATACAGCCAGCGTACTGGTCAGTTGTATATTTGCCTTTAAGACTAAGTTTTAGGCAACGAGTGCTAGACAATTTGAAATGAATTTGATATCCCAACGAGTTTTCCAATAACTGACCCCCAGACTACGAATAGTTTAGAACTTGAAGAAGAATAAGAACAAGATGAAGATTATAGGTATGTTCTCATAGAATCACAAACCAGTCAGAGCGTTTTTGATTTGTACAAATCGCTAACAACCAGTTCTTTGACTCTTTTCAACCAATGAAATTCGCCCTGACTGGTTTGTGATTTCTGTGAGAACAGACCTAAAGTATGACAATGTTGTAGAGTATGAAAATGAGAACATGAATCTTGAAACATAGCTTTAATCCGAAAGATGTCTCTGATTCAGATGAACATCCTAGTGGAATCGAAGAGATGTCCATTATTTTAGATCCATACTATTTATACTTACCTATTTCTACCTACAACAAAATTGGTGTAGGTGTGGAAAACCATGGAAATAAAAGTTGCTAACTTTTGGAAGTTGCAAGTACAGAAGTTGCTAATTTTTCAGGGGTTTTTTATAAGAGAAAATACTGTTTATTTTGGTCATTTGAATGCGAAGCTTAACAATTAGACATTGTTTTCGTAATAAAATCAGCTGGAAATCAGATGATTCTAGGAAATCATCGAGGAAATCAGGTAATCAATTGGGAATGATATAAGAATCCTCAGAAAAAAATGGAAATCACTGGTTATCATACAAAAATATCTGGAAATCATTGGCAATCAGTCGCATTTCTTGGGATGGGAAATGGTGGTTGACCTCTCGGTTATATCTACTTGCATTTTCACTTAACATTTTCAAATTTAGATCAGCTTATACTTGATCTATTGATTATTTTTTGTTTTCCAAACGATGTAGGTAATTTTATTAAATGAAAATTGAATACCGTTTATATAAATGCAAAAATCCTGAAAGTCCTTACAATTCTAGGTCAAGAATTACAATTATTATACCAAAGATACCTGCATCAATGTACAGATGATAATTTTCAATGGCAAAAACACCAATCAAAATAATAATAAATTATTATTAGAATCAAATATTTGTTACAAAGAAAAATTGTCGACATTTACAACGGTTTTAACCTTCCAACCTGAAGTTTTGAATGGGTACCATTTACAAGCGCATTTCAAAACCTGTATTTATGTCTGTAATGTTGTTGTTTTTTTAATTATTAATTTCTCATGTACGCGTAGATAATTAGTCAAAGAGTATCAGTTTTCTAAAAAGGTAATTACCAAGCCGAGACTTTCAATTAAATATAAATAGATAAATGTTCGTCCTAGATGCATTGAATGATGAGAAATTACATAGATTCTTGGACTATTTTGTGTATATTGATAATGTATATTAAGGCCCAGTTGTACAATCTTGGTTCAAAACTGAACTCTACTGGTACTTGAACTTCCCCCAAGGCAGTTTTGACTTATTTCTGTTATAACATCATCATGATAAGTTAGTTCATGCACCGTTGATTGATAGCTCATAATATATGAATGTTTGAAAACACCCCCGACTAAACTTGCTCTCCAATAAAACCACACGAACATAAATCCGGCGGCTGTACGAAAAAGATAGCAATCGATGCAGCCATTAAACCTAACACTCACGTGTTTTGAATTTTACAATGAATACGATAATGTAATAACATTGAAGTTGTTATGCATTGATGCTGGTTATGTGAAACAATTTTTCTAAAAACTAAATCTGGAAATCTTTGAAAATAGCTGGAGCATGAAGACGAGCATAAGATAAGACTTGGGTTGTGGTTGTAGGAGAATAAATTAGCAACTTTGTAACGCAGTCATAGAGCAAATTTCGCCCACGTACGCAATTAGCTCTATAAGGACAAATAAATATCGTGCCTATCGGCCATAAATTTAAACACTTTATAATGGCGATTTATACACTGCAAAAATAAAAAATTAAAGAGATTGCCCCGGTGGAAGAGTCGGAATTAAATGCTAACTGTTTTACGATATGAAATTCATAGCTCAAGGTGAACCGAGAGGCTCCTTTGGTTATTATTAATTAGCATTCCTCAACGTGTCTTTAATAGTCTTTTAATATCCAGGACCGTATGGTTGAATTACTATTACCACCTGACAATCGTTTTGACATATGCATGACAAACAAAATTCATTTTTGATACATTATTATTATACCTACACAATTGTTATATGGCACAGCTGGACGTAAATTGGCTCCTTGACTTTGTTTTTTGCGGTCAACATTATTTGGTTGAATTATAAGGCTTCGGTTCAAGAAAGGTAAAAACATAATTGAATATCGGACACATAATAACTGTGATTAGATAAATCAGTTATTAGGGACGAGGATAATATGAATTGAATTGGTTGTAGAAAATGGAGAATTTTGCCATTGCTGGACTAATGGACAACTTTCTGAGAACTTTAACATGTTCTACTTAAACTGAAACTTGAAGTTACCTCAATTTTTCTTTGCTCTACAGTGACTATTTATATTTGTTTTAAAGTTTCCATTTTCTTTTGCAGGGTTTACCCAAGTGTTCCATCAAGCTACCGGCCTGGGACGAAATAACCGGCGCCCTGCCTCGGTTACATATTCCCGCCATGCCGGCCGTGCGATCAAAGCGCGGCTGGTGCGGCTGCCTACAAGTAAGTAATTTTCATAAATACTACCCTTAATTGTATTTCTTCCAACCCAATAATTATACCCTTTTACCTACAATTTAGCTGAATAATATACATACTTTTTGCAATTCAAATCTCAAAGGGCAAAATCCCTTGGAAATTATTCAATTTATATCCATAATACATAGGTTAATGATTGTTTCCTTTTTGATATTGTCACAACCCCTATACGTTTCATCCTGAGATGTCACAAGAGCGTGACCTGGGGGCGTAGGTGAGGTTCAGGTAAAGAAAAACTCGCTTGGTATAGGTACAATGAGATATGTATTGATAAAACAGAATAATATTACAATATGAATAGTAACATGTCTCTTCTACAGAGGCCACTCTGTAGACTGTAAATTATGTATACTCTGTACACTTGGCGTGACTGAAGACTAAAACTGAGTTTGAGACAGGTCCAGATGGGTGTTTCCCAATAAAGGTAGTTTACACTGAGAGAAGACTTAGCTAGAGTGACTTTTCCCAATCGAGGTCCTTTTCACTCAAGGATAATACACACTACTAAGGATTGTTTATCGGCCTCGTTTTTGAAGAAATTATTATTTAATTTTAAGTAACATAATAGGCAAAGAGGAAGATGAAAGCGAGATCTAAAAAAGAGTTGTTTTAGAATGTTAATTATTGTAGTAAAACCAATTATGCATAAAACAAAAGCCCGCGGAATTATAGCCTGTAGTGCAAACAGCCTACGTCAAAGCAAGAAACCACATGCTGCCTACGTCACAACTGGTGATTTAATGTGGTGGCGGGTTTCAGATTTGTTCCACACAGACCTTATGAAGATAGGCTATCCTGTAGTAGTAGTGTGTATTATCTTTGCTTTGCACTAGCCTTATAGCGATTTTCATTTGTAGAATCAGTGCTACAGAAGTGTATCCTTATCCCTATATTTTATATGATTTTAGAAAAAGATACATTCAAACAAATGGAAATCGCCATGTCTGCCGGTAATGGATCTCGGCGCGGTATTTATACCAAATTAATGCTGACTTGTCGACACATCAGCGTTTTTATTATTGAAACAGGGGAGCAGCGTTCCCAGTAGAACGAGTGTTCTGTCTTTATTACTTATATTATCCGTTGCATATCTTTGAGAAAGACGGAACATTCGTTTTCCTGGGCACGCTGCTCCCATGTTTCAATAATAAGGACCCTGTGATCGACACACTTTAATAAAATCGATGTACAGGGAGTTTTTTATATATTCACACCCCACCTACAGCCTTTACCTTTAAAGGTAAAAGAAAGGTGTAAATACAAAAGTTGTACAGTTTTGGCTGAATTTTCAGAAACCATGGTCAGAAACAAAATTTGAATGTCAAAAATGTGAAATTTTAAACGCTTCCAGCTTAGTTCCGCAGCCATCTATCCACCAATATGTTGTTTAAGTACGATACTAACCTGACTCACCCAAATGTCAGTTATTCTCATTAGTTCAAAAACTGCACGTTTCAAGTGAGTGTCTTATTTGAATAGTTCAACAGTATATTGGTAAATAGATGGCTGCGGAACTCGCTGCGCTCGTCCCGCAGAGGTCCACCCATAAGTTCCGCAACAATCCACTTATTTGTACTTGACCAATAACTTATTATATAAAGTCAAAATTTGTGAGTGTTATTCACTTTTTGTCAAATAAGTAATGTTACTTTACCAAACTAGTAACATAATGTGACAAGTTATTCAAGTACAAACGAGTGAATTGTTGCGAAACTTATGGGTGGACCTCTGCGGGACGAGCGTAGCGAGTTCCGCAGCCATCTATTCACCAATATGTTGTTCAAGTACAATACCAACTTGATTCTCTCAGCTGTGAGTTTTTCTCATTAGTTCAGAAACTATATTTAGATGAATGTTTTACTTGAACAGTTCAACAGTATATTGGTGAGTATATGGCTGCGGAACTCGCTACGCTCGTCCCGCAGAGGTCTACCCATAAGTTCCGCAATCATCCACTTATTTGTACAGGGTGTTTTTTTATATATCAACACCCCACCTACAATCTTTACCTTTACAGGTAGAAGAAAGATGTGAATACAAAAGTTGTACAGTTTTTGCTGAATCTTTAGAATCCATGGTCAGAAACAAAATTTGAATGTCAGAAATGTAAAATTTTAAATACTTTCAGCTTTTTCCAAAGTACAAACTTATGGGTGGACCTCTGTGCGAGTTCCGCAGTCATCTATCCACCAATATGTTGTTCAAGTACGATACTAACCTGACTCACCCAAATGTCAGTTATTCTCATTAGTTCAAAAACTGCACGTTTCAAGTGAGTGTCTTATTTGAATAGTTCAACAGTATATTGGTAAATAGATGGGTGCGGAACTCGCTGCGCTCGTCCCGCAGAGGTCCACCCATAAGTTCCGCAACAATCCACTTATTTGTACTTGAACAATAACTTATTATATAAAGTCAAAATTTGTGAGATTATTCACTTTTTGTCAAATAAGTAATGTTACTTTACCAAACTAGTAACATAATGTGACAAGTTATTCAAGTACAAACGAGTGAATTGTTGCGAAACTTATGGGTGGACCTCTGCGGGACGAGCGTAGCGAGTTCCGCAGCCATCTATTCACCAATATGTTGTTCAAGTACAATACCAACTTGATTCTCTCAGCTGTGAGTTTTTCCCATTAGTTCAGAAACTATATTTAGATGAATGTTTTACTTGAACAGTTCAACAGTATATTGGTGAGTATATGGCTGCGGAACTCGCTGCGCTCGTCCCGCAGAGGTCCACCCATAAGTTCCGCAATCATCCACTTATTTGTACAGGGTGTTTTTTTATATATCAACACCCCACCTACAATCTTTACCTTTACAGGTAGAAGAAAGATGTGAATACAAAAGTTGTACAGTTTTTGCTGAATCTTTAGAAACCATGGTCAGAAACAAAATTTGAATGTCAGAAATGTAAAATTTTAAACGCTTTCAGCTTTTTCCAAAGTACAAACTTATGGGTGGACCTCTGTGCGAGTTCCGCAGTCATCTATCCACCAATATGTTGTTCAAGTACGATACTAACCTGACTCACCTAAATGTCAGTTATTGTCATTAGTTCAAAAACTGCACGTTTCAGGTGAGTGTCTTATTTGAATAGTTCAACAGAATATTGGTAAATAGATGGCTGCGGAACTCGCTGCGCTCGTCCCGCAGAGGTCTACCCATAAGTTCCGCAATAATCCACTTATTTGTACTTGAACAATGACTTATTAAGTAATGTTACTTTACCAAACTAGTAACATAATGTGACAAGTTATTCAAGTACAAACGAGTGGATTGTTGCGGAACTTATGGGTGGACCTCTGCGGGACGAGCGTAGCGAGTTCCGCAGCTATCTATTCACCAATATGTTGTTCAAGTACAATACCAACCTGATTCTCTCAGCTGTGAGTTTTTCTCATTAGTTCAAAAACTACATTTAGATGAATGTCTTACTTGAACAGTTCAACAGTATATTGGTGAGTAGATGGTTGCGGAACTCGCTGCGCTCGTCCCGCAGTGGTCCACCCATAAGTTCCGCAATCATCCACTTATTTGTACAGGGTGTTTTTTTATATATTAACATCCCACCTACAACCTTTACCTTTACAGATAGAAGAAAGGTGTAAATACAAAAGTTGTACAGTTTTCGTTGAATTTTTAGAAACCATGGTCAGAAACAAAATTTAAATGTCAGAAATGTGAAATTTTGCATGCTTCCAACTTTTTTCAAATGGGATGCCCTATTTTTTATTCTATATTCTTGAAGAGCACAATGCCCCGATTCCAAAAATATATAGTTTGTCTATATTTGATTGAGCAGTCTCTCATATATTCGGCTCCAAAAATTGTAAAAATACTATCCTACTACTGATTTTGTAAACCATTTTACCTGTACAGGTGAATGCTACAGGTAAAATTTGAGGTACTTACTTGGTTTCTCTGATAGTATTTTTAAAATTTTTAGAACCAAATATGTTGGAGACGGCTCAACCAAATATAGACAAACTATATAGTTTTGGAATCGGGAAATTGTGCTCTTCATGAATATAGAACCAAATATAGGGCATCTTATTTGGAAGAAGCTGAAAGCATGCAACATTTCACATTTCTGACATCGTATTTTTGTACTGTACAACTTCATCTACCTGTAAAGGTATAGGCTGTAGGTGAGGTGTCAATATATAAAAAAACACCCTGTACAGAGTGGTATTTACTAAAGTAGTTGACAATATCTGTATATATTAACTACTAAACAATAGTTTCTAATAGCCCGGAGGATAACGGAAACTATGTGGCTATTAGGTATACAAGCATGGAATTTAGGACCCACATTCTCAAGGCAATTTCAAGAGATTTCAGTCGATTCTCCAAAAAATTCCTCCATAGGGTAGGGAGTTTCTGCCATTTTTAATTTTCTGAAATATCGTAAAATAGCTTATTTTTCAAAAAAAGTCAATTAGGAATATCCTTTGACTTTAAATAAAACCTACAAAAATTTCACACCTATAGAAAATGGCGTCCGGCAACTTCAGTAGCTCTTATTCAAGATGGCTGCCAACTTACATAAACATCTAAACCAGACAACCAACCCTAACTTTGATAGCTCGATTTCGACTAGTTTTTGGTCGAGAAATCCATTTCTTATGAAAAAAATATCATACATGTTGCCATTTCACTTTTATGCGCCATTTTTTCAATATGGCGACCACAGTATTTGGGCCGATTTCTCAATAGCGAGTCACCTTCGGGTTGGTTTTAACCCGGGGTTAAGCGTGTCCAATTGCTATGTTATGCTTAACCCAGGGGTGACTCGCTATTGAGAAACCGGCCCTTGAACTTATAGCTTATGGGGTATAATTTCATAGGTATTTCGACATCCTAAATCCAATTTTGACAACAAAACAAACGTAGGAGCTTCCGTTTCTATTTTGGGGCCATTTTTAAGAATGTCAGCTACCAATTATCTGAACAGT